TTTAAGTCTACAAGACCAGGTAAGTATGTATGTTGCCATCTACAAATCAAGAAAATAGAAGTCCTTTCACCTCTACTGGTCTCCCTGGGCCAAAGGAAGGAGAAGAGCTGAACTTCGAGAAATGCCTTGATCCGCAAAGCAAATGCATAGAGAAGAAATCCTGCCACTTGTTTCTGCTTTTCACTTACTTCATAATAATATGCCATCCACCCATGGTAAAGTTGGCATTTTAAGATAACTTGTAATTCTAAGTCCATTTATTTGGAAGGCAATTTCACTGAAATTGGGGCACTTCCTGCTGAAAACAATTTCCCTAGGTGCTCAGACTGCTTTAGTTTGTTTAACGCTGCCTGCAATGACCAGACTTCCTGGGATTTTAGGTCCAACATACCAAGAGATCTGCTTTTTGCCCAGCCCTGATGTCTGTATACATTGTCTCGGGGATTGTTAACAATCCTGCAGGTGCCACAGAAGGTACTGACTGTTCTCTCTTCCAAGGCATGGGCTGCTTTTGGTACAGGAAAGCATGCTCTTGCCTTCAAATGTGCAGTGATAATGACTTAATCTGGGTTGCAGCCCTGAAGGGGTGTCTCATGAGCCCGCAGACTTATTTCAACAGAAGCACAGTAGTCACGCCATAATGAATGCAAGGAGTTGCTCAGGTCACTTAAAATGCAGCTGTATGATGAAACCATCCACCATCCATCCAGTGTATCAACAACTCATTAAAAGATGTATGCAATGTTCATGTCTCTTTGAAGGTGTGGCACAACTTGTGACCATCCCGACATTGCTGGACTGCAACACTCATGAACCCTACCTAGGCGGCACTGCCTGCGGTTAAGAATGAAGGATTTGCAGCTCTGCAACACCTTGAAGACCACAAGTTGACAACTCAAGATGAGAACAGTCCCATATTTCATTATTTGTTGAATGAATTCCACGACGCAGGCCAATTTTTACATATAAAGATGGATGTAGACATCTAATGGACCACACAAAAGCCTATAGCTAGGTCGGCGTTTGAACTGAAGTCCAAGTCTGTTTGCTAGACTATCCCAGTTCTAGATAACTAATGCATCTAAGTGTCCACAGATAACTGGCCTGATACAGCAGCTTAGATCATTGCATGAAGGAGGCAACAATTTTGGACTCCAGGGATGACAAGACAGAACAGAAACAACAGCATGTGACAAGAAGAAATGGTTTTCCTTCTGGGCTGAACACTGAAACTGAGGTTATTCATTTTGTCAAGGACTGAAGAGGCATGTGTTGTATGACGGTGCATGCAATCAAACATCAGTGATTTTGCCTCATCACCACCTTGCATTTCCGGTGACCAGATAACCCTTACCTTTCTTACTCCTCTTCATGCCCTGCTTGCAGCAGTCAGTTTGCACATTTTGCTGCTTGTCACCCAGTGCAGCAAAGGGAAACAGTGCAAATGCATGGGTGAGCCTTCCCTTTGTCACTTCCTGTTCTCCCCAGTGCAACAAGCACAAATGAACAGCACCAGAAATACTCTGAAACTCCCCAGGCTTATCAATATCCACACCCTTTGTTCCATCTGGGAGTATAAGAGGCTGACTCTCTTGGAAGATGCAGTGCTGGCTTCAGGATTGGGGCAAGATGCTCACCTATTAGGACCTTCCTGAGTGGGTGCACCTCCTCCTTCATCCTACTGACTTCCCACTTCAACTTAGCTAAATCTTCCAGGGAGAAAGAATGGAGAAAGCAGCCTTTGACAGCAAAGTGGAGGAACACTAGAACCATGAAGAGAAAGTGGGTCTTCTATAGGGTCCTGAGCTTTGGCAGATGTCCAGTGAGGCCAGCGTCCCAACAGGTACATGTGGGCAATCAGCTGAATTGAAATGCTGGTAGGGTACTGATGCCCATGGACTGACTGAGAAGGCCGATCTAAAGAGATCTGTTACCACCAAAGCACAATTCCATGTTCGTGTTGCTATGGTGAGACCTGCCTAAGAGGCATTCAAATCTATGACCTATTTTAAAAGGAATCCTGTTTGTTGCATCGAAACAGTTTTCACGAACCCACAGACAGCTTTCCTTGCCTATATACACTCCTTTCTCCGAGTGGGCCCTTGGTTGCTCGGTGTGGTATTTTATTTCCCAACATGTTAAAATTAACTTGCCTTAAATAATGGAACAGTAATGAGTCAAACTACCTCATTTGCATCGACATTTCTATTTATTACTAATGGGGAAATCCTGAGTGCTGAAGGGCTGTGAGATGGAGAGATTCCGATGACACGAAGAGGAGGAGGCAGCTCAGGCTATGACAACTGTGCCCATCTCATGCTATCCTGGAACCTCTGCATCAAGGCTTGCCTGCAGTTCTGGGCCTGAAATAAAGGTCCACCCTGGGATCCAAAGTCTGACTTCAGCTTTTTCAAGATGCTTCGGATGGTACAGTGGACCTCTTGGACTTCTGGCAGGGTTAGGTCAGGGACCTGAACATTACAGCAACCCACTTTCAAAACTGCAGCAATGTTTGAGACAAACCAATGGCTGCATTCCTATGTACATTTGCTTAGGAGTAATTCCCAAGGAAACTAGAGGAGACCTACTCCCACAAACATGTGAATAGGAACCTATCCCCATGCACAGCTGAAGTCATGTGCCATTTCATCTAATGGGGCTTATTTGAGTAAACACAGGAGTAATTTCAGAGTTCCTTAGATTTGGGTCATCCACTGTAATAGCCTTCACTTGCATAATACCCTCCAGTTGCGTTGGATCACAATTCATCCCAGGCAACATAGCCTGTGGATGATAGAAGATACAGTCCAACACATCCAGAGAGCACCAGGCAGGAGCACATCCAGTCTGTGGGAAGCCTGTACTATTTCAGGCAGGCACAGACTGCATGTGGGTGCCAACCTGAAAGAGGGGTACACCTTTTGGGTGCCAAACCGCCGCACAAATTCAAAGTAATATTATTCCCTGTCCTTTGTCACGAAAATATCCCAGGGGGAAACATGGCGGAACTACACAGACAAAAGCAGATTTTGCCATCTGCAATACTGACATGCTATAAAAGTTGTGAGCGGCCCAGATGGGTTGGAATCAGCTCCCAGCATGCCCAGCCAAACATGCTGGGAATTCTGCTCAAACACAACTGAAAGGCACCAAGTAGGAGAAGGCTGTATAACCACTGGGCATCGGGGGAGGCCACGCTTAAAGCTCCACTTAACTGCAAGTCCCACTGGATGCAATGTTTGCTTTCTTCCAAGCAAACACGCATAGGATTAGGGTCTGAACTTATCCCAGCAAAACCAGCGCTACAAACATGTAATGTTCCAGCTCAGCTGCCTGCTAGCTTGGCTTATATAAAGCGAGCGGGGTTAAGGGTGGAAGAGAGATGGTTTTAAGCAAAGGTTCTGCTTTCAGAGAGTCCGCAAAGGCTCTTTTCCTTGTAAAACACTCTGCATATTCCTTAGAATAATACCCAGATTTTAGTCTATGCCACCATGCAATTTTGTGGGATTTGGGGTGGCAAATGGGAAATTCAAGATTTTCTTGACGTTAACAAGAATCTTAGTATGAATGTACACTTCAGATTCAGATTAAAATAAAGACAATAGTCTAAGTAGGAATCAAAATGTTGGAAGAACTGTTTTTGTTGTTGTTTTTTTTACACAAAACATTTATTTACATAATAGTCATGAAAATAATGACAAAACCACCATTCTCGGGGATGGTTCCAGTTAGTGGTTGTGCCTTATTAGAAGAAATAATTACTCTTTCTGCGATTGTGCAGGAGCTATCATTTTCTCTGTCAGCCCCACAAAGGGTATTTACATGCTGCAATCCTTTTTTTTAAAAATTATTTTCTACAAAAGCCACATTTAATAAGTCACACACACATACACACAAAAACAAAACACACCCATAGCATACAAAAATAGAGTTTCTAGAAAAATCCAAATATTAATAGGCAGAAATATACAGCTATACTAAATCAGGGAGTTGAAATCTTTCTTTTGCCCCCTTAGATCATGATTGATAAGGCAACCAATTTAACATGCAGCCACTGAACCACTGTCTAGACATCCCAAAAAAGGCACCAAGGACAGTTCAACACGATTGCATGCACCCAGACAGCCGAGAACCTATGTACAGTCTCCCATTAAATAATAAGTTAAGCCTCTCCTATCAGTCCACTTCATCTGGACCTTCCTCACCCTTGGAGAAGACCGAACAGTGCACATCGGTGTGTGTTTTTAAAGATACACACAATGTCAGAAGCAGGGAAATATACACGGAAAAGTGGGGTGGGGTGAAATAACTACTGAAGATCTGGAAAGTACCTTTAAAAAAGAGAAAAGGGGGGAAAGGACCAGATATTGCCACACATCTATCAACTCGCCCCCTCCTCATTGCACTTCTGTTTTCTCGAGTAGTCGCAGCAGCCAGTCCTGCACGCAGCTCCTTCCACGGCCTTTTCTCTGGAACTGCTTCACAGGCGCGCGTCCTTCAGGGCCGCCGCTTTCTTAGTTCCATCTTCTATTGCTAAGAAACCGGCTCGGAACAACCCGTGGTGCGTGCGCGCTGCGGGGGTTGTGGGTGGATTGTGTGTGTGCATGATTATTATTTTTTTAACGGCTTTGGCAAGTAACACGAGTAACTCCTGCGGCTGAGTTCGCCGAGTGGGAGCTGGGAACGAGTCAACGAAGCTCTAAAGTGCACGCGAAAGTCCTTCTCCTCCCTTCCCCGGCCCTTCCGCAACTTTTTGCATTCTCCTTTGGAAAGATCCCGATCTGAGCCCAGGCGCTTCCCGAAGTTCGGTCCGGCCCAATCAAGCTGCCCGGCTGGCACGCCGAGGCGCGGGGCAGGGCGAGCCTTTCCCGCGTGCCTGCCCGGTACAGCCGCGCGTACACGCGAGCACACACACACGGGGCACCGGTCAGCGGAGGAGGCAGGCCCCCACGCGCGGGGGGGGGGTCCGTGGGCCCCGGGGGCGCGCAGGAGCGGCAGAATCAGGGCGTCCGGGTCCGTGAGGCACAGGAGGTGATGGGGGGCCCGCCGCTCGAGGAGCAGATGGGCCCAGCCGGGGCAGCGCCGCCGCCGCCGCCGGCGTGAGAGGCGGCGGCGGCGGCGGCCACTTTGCGCTCCTTCTGGCGGAGGTGGATCTTGGTGTGGCGCTTCCTCTCGTCGCTGCGGGCGAACTTCCTGCCGCAGAAGTCGCAGGCGAAGGGCTTCTCGCCGGTGTGTGTGCGAATGTGCGTGGTGAGGTGGTCGCTGCGGCTGAAGTTGCGCATGCAGATGCGGCACTGGAAGGGCTTGTGGCCCGTGTGGATGCGAATGTGGCGCGTCAGCTCGTCGGAGCGCGAGAAGCGCCGGTCGCAGCCCTCGGCCGGGCACGGGTAAGGCCGCTCGTGCACGGGCGTCTTGCTGGGCCGGTTTGGGTACTTGCGCGGCCGCAGGATGGGGCGCAACGGCAGGTTGGCCGGGCTGCCGTACGCGCCCGCCGCCAAGCGGGCCCCCGGGCCCCCGGGCGCGGGGCCGTCGCCCAGGCCGCCAGAGGGCGCCCCCAGGGTGAAGTTGCGGATGGTGGAGAGGGGCGTGAGCGGAGGCGGGACGCGCACCGAGTCCAGCGCGCAGGGGAACGGCTTGCGCTCGCCGGCGGCCCCGTGGAAGTCGGCGCGCTGGCTGCACGGCGGCTGCGGCGGCGGCGGCGGCGGGAAGAAGCCCGCGTAGTCCGAGATCATGGAGAACAGGCCGCTGCCGTCGGCTCCAGAGGGCGTCACTGTCTTGGGGGAGTGGTGGTAGGAAGGGGGCGGAGGGAAGGGCCCCGAGGAGGCGGTCAGGAAAGGCGGCGCGCCGTCTGGAGGCGCCTGCGGCGGCGGCGGCGGCGGGTGCTGCTGCTGCGCGTGGTAGAGCTCCCCGCAGGCCGAGTACGGCGGCGGCGAGTACATGTGCTCCAGGTCGCCGGCGGCGGGCGCCATGGGGCAGCCCAGCGGGTTGGGCGACCCCGAGGAGGCGGCGGACGAGGTGGCGGAGGAGGAGGTCGGGGCGGCGGGGGCGGGCGGCGTGGCCACCCCCTGCAGGATGCTGGCGCTCACCAGGTTGAGGATGCCGTCGGCGGGGTAGCAGCCCGCGCCGGGGTACTGCGGGTCGATGGAGAACTTGCCCATGTAGGTGAAGGGCTGGCTGCGCGGAGGCGGCGCGAAGCCGCCGCAGGCGTATTGCAGCTCCAGGGACCGCTTGTCGCTCATGTCCGCGCCGATCAGGCCATCTGGGGGGTGGAGGGGAGAGAAAGGCGAGTCATCATTGAGGGGGCCCGGAGCTCTTCTCCTCAGGGGCCGCCGCGCCGAGGCAGCGTCTTCTCCCTGCCAGGGCAACTTAGCATCAGTTTTCTCGCCAAGCCTACACATGGTACACAATGATGCGTTTCGGTACGATGAGTGGGATAGGGGCTTGGGGGGGGGCGCACGTCACGCTGGAAAGGGTGGGGTGAGACACCTAAGTGGCCACACGAAGTTTGAAAGTTCGCCAGCCGCAACTTCTGTCGCTTGCACAAAGACGACGAAAATAATGGGGCGGGGGCCAAAATGCTATGAACTAAAACCAACATCACCTGCCCAGAAATCTCCCTTCACACACTTTCCCTTGGAACCCGCAAACTCCTGAAAGTTACTTACCGTTTGAAAGAAAAAGGGAGCTCAAAGGAATAAAAACCTTAATTTTTTAAAAAAAGGCAAATTGAGAATCCCTGAGGGGTTCTCAGACCTGTGCGTGGTTATTGGGAAGCATCCCTTGAGTTCAGCGGCACTTATCCCCGGGCAGTGTGAGTGAGATTGCAGGTGAATCCACACAGAAGAAACAAATCATTCCCGGGAGACTTTGAATAAACCGGCACTGGATTGTGCTGTTAATTCACAGGATCCAGAGTTAAAGTCCCTGCGGGGCGTCCCACAGCATCCTCTCAGCCCCATATCCAGAGTTACCGCTAAGTTTAAGCAGTTCATTGATTGCAGCCTGTCAGAAGAGGTGGAAAGAAGTAATCCCAGGTTCAGGATTTGGAAAGAACGCCCGTTTTAAAACCCAAGATCCTTTTCTGCAGCAAAAAAGCACTCTGTTAAGTTAGTGGGGTTCTCCTAGGGCAAGAGAAGGGTGGTGGTACGGGGTGGCGGTGGTGGGGGGACCGCCCCACTGCGCTCCCCCTGCTTATGAAGATGTCCGGTACTTCTGTCTGCATTTAACAGGTTGTGTCCCGCATCCCCACCGGCAGAATCATGCACAGCTCGAGTTCTGCTTCAGGGGCAGAATCCATCCTTACCCCGGTTTCTAGGCTCTTCCTCCTGCCCTCCCCTCCCCTCCCCATCGATCGATCCAAGGTCCGCATTAAAAGGTGCCTTTGGAAGCGGGAGCGGTTGCTTACCTCCTGTCACAGCGCTCAGCTGGTCAAAAGGTCCTCCCAAGTCACCATTAGGAAAGTTGATCACTGAGGTCGGCAGCGTGGTGGCGGTCTCCTCCACCGAGTAAAGGTTTTCGGACAGGTGGTGCACAAACCCACTAAGTGTGACTGCGTTTTTGTCTACCGCCTTGGCTGTCATCATTTGCTCCACGGACAGAGGCGAGAACACCCTGCCTTGCCCGGGGTGGGAGGGTTACACAGGGGTAGGGAAAGGGGGAGTTCCTCGTCCGAGTATGAAAGCCACTTCCACCGCCAAGTTTACTAGCTAGGGAGGTGCCCGCTCTCCCTCGGCTGTGTCCTGCATCAATGCCCCAGGAGTGGCTGTAATGTTGTTATAACAGTCGGTGTCCCTTGTCGAGCCGTTTTAATCAATTGCAGCTCTCAGTAAATGGAAAGTCTTGCTCTAAGTATTTATTGGGAGGCCGTGAATGTCCGCGACGTCACTGCCCAAATAAGGACTGAGGAACAGGGGAAAGGCGGTGGGGAGGCTCGTCATACGGGAAATTAGCATGGCGCGCCCTGAGTGGCCGGCGCTCGCCCCCCTCCCGGAGCCTGCCCGGTGGCGCGCCGAAGCGGGGACTTGCGCGCGGCTGGTGGATGGCGCGCCGGCGCGCGGCCCGGGCGGCGAGCGCGGCGCAGGATGCGGGGCTCTGCGCGGCGCAGCAGCGGGCGGGGACGCGCCGGCGGCGAGCCTGCGAGGGGGCTTCTGCAGCCCCCGAGAGAGCGGGATTCCGGTGGCCGGGCCCGATTCCTAAAAAGGCGAGCATCCGGTTGCCTCCCCTTCTGCCTTTTTGGGAGTCCTTCCGGAAAGTGCAACTTCGGAAAGAAAACGGATCGGGCCGGAGACGGCCGCGGCCGCAAGTGCTTCACTCACTTTTCTTGGCACCTCGTAACCGCAAGGCGACGGGCAGATCACAAAAGCTGCCTGCAGGAAATTGGGGGGCGCCTTGTTCCCTTTCTTTCTGTCCTCTTGCCTTGTCTTGTCTTGTCTTGCCTTGCCCGATCCGGCCCCGAGGCCACTTCGCTTCAGGGATGGAAAGATGCCCCGGCAAGAAGGAACAACTTAGGCGCGCTGCTCGGATGGAAACTTGGCGCGCATTTTCTTAGCCGTGAAAACGGAACATGCTTTTCTGCTCTTTCCCCCGCGTGTTCGGCGGTGGCTGATGGGCCAGCGGAGCGGCTGGGAGGAAGTGAGCCCAAGCAGGGCGGAGTGGCGGCCGCCGCGTCCCAGCGCGACTCCTCGCCGCGTCGCTCCCACGCGGTTTATATCTTCCGAAGCGTCTGCTGCGAAATTCCGTGTGGGCGATCCAGACTCCATAAAACGCGACCCAGATCCATGCCGCTGCGAGTCGATGGCCTGCAGACAGGAATGAATCCCTTTCAGACCCAGCAATAGCGAAGCTGCGCGGATTTCATTCATGCAGCCTTTACTTTCTAGAGGAAACGCCACCCTCCTCCCGCACCTATTTTCTGACAGATCCAACTGGTTATTTGGTCGTTTTTTATTTGATTTATAACCTGCCCTTGCAGCCCCCCCCCCCGCACACACACAAATAGCACTCAAGCATCCTTAAAATAGGTCAAACTCTTTCAGTGCTGCCACATGCAACATCAGAAATTTTTTGAGATTCAGAAAAGGTGCTCTGTGATATTACTGGCCTTCTTGAAAAGGTACTGGGGATCAGAAAGAGACAGTATTCTTTCCGTCCCTCAGGTCTTTCTCTTAGCCCCCAGTGTGACTGGGTGTAGTTCCTCACTGGCAAGAGACAGGCAGTCTACCCAGGGTTTGGATCGCTCCCCCATCCCCTGCCCACTGCATGTTCCAGGCTGAGCTCCGGGATTCAAAACTGGTCCAGGGGCTGACTCACATCTCCCTTCAGGCTCTGTTAGCATGGATAAGAAAGCTCACCTTATCATGTAAAATTGTAGTTATATACTTAGATGAAACAATGGCTATTGCTGATTCCTTGTGGAACTTCTTGCATATTGTTTTATGAGCAATTTTGGTTTGCGGTCCTTTGGTAACTTTTTCTTCTGATGCTTTTGTTCTCCTTTCTGTTTCTTAATATTTATAAAAATAATTAAAAATTAATTTAAAAAAGAGATGTCTTCTCACCCAGGAGCATGTGTTAAATTTTGACCCAACTTCACTTCTTGCAAGCATAACCGGAATGAAAAGGGAAGGGTGGGCTCTGGATGTCCTGAAACTGGAAGTGCTCCAGCATTTGGATCCAAGGCTTTGAAAAAAGGGAATATCACAGTGTTCCTGCTGTTTTGTTTTGTTTTGTTTTGGGGGGGGGAGCCGATTAACCCATCATTGCTCCTTTCCCTGCCATTTTAGCAGAACGTGGACATGGGCAAGGGGAGCTGGCACGGGCGCCTTCTTCTGCCAGGTTTCCCTCCACAGTTTTCCTCAGTGGCACCTCCTCTGAGCTTTGCCACTTCTGGGAGCAGCACAAATGAGAGGAGACCACGCGGCTCCAACTTCGACCCGCTTGCTTTTGCCTGGAGAGTGAGCAAGCAAGCAAGAGCAGACAACTCTGTCCTTCTGCTTGACCCTCCGAGGTGGTGGTACTTGGGCCCAACATGCCTAAATCTTCACACACCAAATGAGAAGGTACAAGCCAAAAGGCAATTCCGGCATCACCCTGTCTTGTAACTGGAGTTTCAGCGCAAGGTTATCTTGTGACTACTGGTCTAATTTCAGTGGAGAGACATGGGGGATATACTAGTTTTCTGTACACATGGCTTGGAAGCCACAATAGCCGCCATCGCTGGCTTCTGCCCACAGAACGACGGCACTGCTGAAAAGCAGGTGCTCCCGGCATGGCACAGGTGGCCATGTGCTTCAAGCCAGCACAGAGTTCCCCATGAAGGAGCAGTGATTGCCGCCGGAAATGCCCAGGGCGGACCAGCACTTGCACCCCAAGGAAGCAGTCTCTGGTTAGGGCCCCTGGGCCTATGCACGTGCGTCAGGCTGAAATGCCTTTTGGGGGGGGGGTTCCTTAAAAGGGATGTGGAGGAATCAGGTTTGTCCGAAGAATCACCGCAATCCCAGGCCAAAGCTGAAGCAAAGGTTTGCACGTCGTCTTGGCTGCGCGATCGTACCGGCAATCCCACAGCAGAGACTTGGTTTCCCTTTACGTACAGTACAGCTGGAGGGATGCCAAATCGAGGTGCTGGTTGCTTTATGGCATCATTCGCACTTTCCATACATTGTTCTCTTGTTTTATCAAAGAACAATCTCATTAACGTGTCACTCTTTCCTCTAGCCCAAAATAGCCACAGTTCAACCTCATCTGTCTGTTATTAAAAAGAGAGGACTTACGGAAAGTAGGACACCAGTGTTGATCGTACTGCCTGTTGCAAGCCTTTTTCTGCCTAAAGTTGCATAGGATTGTGCCTTTAAACATCTGTTTAAAGAGATGGATTCTACCTCTCGCATGAAAGTTTGCATCAAACACTTTTTTCCTGGTCTGCTTGTGCGCCACTCTGTGGTAAAAACATTATTTGCAGGCAGAACAATCATTTTAAAAACAAGTTTGAAAGAATTCCTAAAACCTAAGGACACGTTCACACCATTCCAACCACAGAAGTAAAGCCAGAGAAGAGAGATAATATATTAAATAGAATGCCTAAAGTTTTTCTTTCTGAGGACATTTTTAGGATCATGGATAAATACTACTTTGAACAGGCAACTGGGTGAAATTCTTGTGTTAGGTATTGTTGTATCTTGTTACATTACAGAAGGTTTGCTTTTGTGATTATCTTATATTTTTATGTCAGTTCCCTGAGTGCTCAGATTGCATTAATGTATGTTTGCTTAGCATTTTTACAAAGTAAAATCTAGATATAATTTTAGAACAGTTTAATTTTATATTTAATTTTAGAATCGTTATGCCAGTTTTGAGATAGGCTTCAATGCGTAGCTCTGAGTCTATACCGAGCTTTGTACAAATAATTCTAAGTTAGTGTTTTTCCTGTATTGCTGGGGCACAATCCAAGGCTGATTTAGGCAGAAAAAAGCACAGCTAGCTGTGGTATGGGATCTGTAGGAATATTTCTGTCTAAACATGTACAAGATTGCACCCTGAAGCACTTGAAAAAGATGCCTACGAGTGGATTTGAAGGGGTGTGTGAACAGAGTAACCACCCTGCAATGATCCGATCCTCTGCTCGGACAGCTTCCTAGCTGTATGGGTTTTAAAATTCATTCCCACTTTCCCTGGTCAATCTGTGCAAATATATAAAAAGAAGTAAACGGCTTACCGAGCTGAATGAACCTCAGAATTGTAGGTCTATAGCATCAGAAACATGTCCTTCCTCACACGCACCCAGTGGTCCCCATGGGCTCTGGAAACAGATTGGAAGCCCAGTTTCCATTCATGCGCCTGCCTTTATGCAACCCACCCACCCCCTCCGTGGTGGTCTCCTTTCACAGTGGAGAGCTGATGGAACCGCGCACTCGGCGATCCCCCAAATTCCATGCAGTCACATTTATTCTTCCCACCCACAGCTCGGTCTTTTCCTTCTACATGTTGCTGTTGTTGCTGCTTTATTTTTCCTCTGCTCCTGGCTCCATCACTTACAATAATCTATACATATGGGAACATTGAGAGAAAGATCATCATGATCTTGTGGTTTAGAAAATGAAAAAGAATGAGATTCTGGGTTATGTAAAAATTTGCCATGAGGGGAAAAAAAAAAAAAAAGAAAGGCAAGCAAACTTTTAAAAAAGGTTGTGATGGAGAGGAAGCTTTATTTAAAGAAACCCTTCCAGTTAATTAATTTAGCATTCCTGCTGGACCCAAACAGCAAAAACCAAACTAAAACAGACATTCTTTTGCTGCTCTCAGAGCATCAATATCATTCCCCCACCATTGATAAAACTCCCTTTCTTTTAAGTGGCAAATACTTTGTAATGGCCCAGCATTAAGATGGACTGCAACCTAAATTGGATGTTACTCTCCTCCTCTTATGAAACATACTTTAAAAATGCACAAGCCGTGTTTTTGTCCCGGGAGGTTAGCTGTTGTTTCAACACAGAGATGCACTTTTAGGAGTTGGTGCTGAGTTGTCCCAGCTCTGTGTTCCCAGGTTTTGAGACAGCTCAACATGCATACTTGTCAAGAGGCTAACTGT